AGTTAATGGATCAGGTGGGCGGAGTCACAGACATGGTTCCGAACAACCTATGCTTGTTGTCAGGGGCAACTTAATGGATCGGGTGGGCGGAGTCACAGACATGGTTCCTAACAACCTCTGCTTGTTGTCAGGGGCGAGTTAATGGATCAGGTGGGCGGAGTCACAGACATGGTTCCGAACAACCTATGCTTGTTGTCAGGGGCGACTTAATGGATCGGGTGGGCGGAGTCACAGACATGGTTCCGAACAACTTCTGCTTGTTGTCAGGGGCAACTTAATGGATCGGTTGGGCGGAGTCACAGACATGGTTCCTAACAACCTATGCTTGTTGTCAGGGGCGACTTAATAGTTCGGGTAGGCGGAGTCACAGACATGGTTCCTAACAACCTATGCTTGTTGTCAGGGGCGACTTAATGGATCGGGTGGGCGGAGTCACAGACATGGTTCCTAACAACCTATGCTTGTTGTCAGGGGCGACTTAATGGATCGGGTGGGCGGAGTCACAGACATGGTTCCGAACAACCTCTGCTGGTTGTTAGGGTCGACTTAATGGATCGGGTGGGCGGAGTCACAGACATGGTTCCCAACAACCTCTGCTGGTTGTCAGGGGCGACTTAATGGATCGGGTGGGCGGAGTCACAGAAATGGTTCCCAACAACTTCTGCTAGTTGTCAGGGTGGACTTGATGGATCGGGTGGGAGGAGTCACAGACTTGATTCGCAACAACTTCTGCTAGTTGTCAGGGTGGACTTAATGGATCGGGTGGGCGGAGTCACAGACTTGATTCCGAACAACCTCTGCTTGGTGTCAGGGGCGACTTAATGGATCGGGTGGGCAGGCTCACAAACATGGTTCCCAACAACCTATGCTTGTTGTCAGGGGCGACTTAATGGATCGGGTGGGCAGGCTAACAGACATGGTTCCCAACAACCTATGCTTGTTGTCAGGGGCGACTTAATGGATCGGGTGGACAGGCTCACAGACATGGTTCCCAACAACCTCTGCTTGTTGTCAGGGGCGACTTAATGGATCGGGTGGACAGGCTCACAGACTTGGTTCCCAACAACCTATGCTTGTTGTCAGGGGCGACTTAATGGATCGGGTGGACAGGCTCACAGACATGGTTACCAACAACCTATGCTTGTTGTCAGGGGCGACTTAATGGATCAGGTAGGCGGAGTCACAGACATGGTTCCCAACAACCTATGCTTGTTGTCAGGGGCGACTTAATGGATCGGGTAGGCGGAGTCACAGACATGGTTCCCAACAACCTCTGCTTGTTGTCAGGGGCGACTTAATGGATCGGGTAGGCGGAGTCACAGACATGGTTCCTAACAACCTATGCTTGTTGTCAGGGGCAAATTAATGGATCGGGTGGGCGGAGTCAAAGACATGGTTCCTAACAACCTATGCTTGTTGTCAGGGGCAACTTAATGGATCAGGTGGGCGGAGTCACAGACATGGTTCCTAACAACCTATGCTTGTTGTCAGGGGCAACTTAATGGATCGGGTGGACAGGCTCACAGACATGGTTACCAACAACCTATGCTTGTTGTCAGGGGCGACTTAATGGATCAGGTAGGCGGAGTCACAGACATGGTTCCCAACAACCTATGCTTGTTGTCAGGGGCGACTTAATGGATCGGGTTGGCGGAGTCACAGACATGGTTCCCAACAACCTCTGCTTGTTGTCAGGGGCGACTTAATGGATCGGGTGAACAGGCTCACAGACATGGTTCCCAACAACCTATGCTTGTTGTCAGGGGCGACTTAATGGATCGGGTGGACAGGCTCACAGACATGGTTACCAACAACCTATGCTTGTTGTCAGGGGCGACTTAATGGATCAGGTAGGCGGAGTCACAGACATGGTTCCCAACAACCTATGCTTGTTGTCAGGGGCGACTTAATGGATCGGGTGGGCGGAGTCACAGACATGGTTCCTGACAACCTCTGCTGGTTGTCAGGGGCGAGATAATGAATCGGATGGGCAGGCTCACAGACATGGTTCCCAACAACCTCTGCTAGTTGTCAGGGTGGACTTGATGGATCGGGTGGGCGGAGTCACAGACTTCATTCGCAACAACCTCTGCTGGTTGTCAGGGGGGACTTGATGGATCGGGTGGGCGGAGTCACAGACTTCATTCGCAACAACCTCTGCTGGTTGTCAGGGGGGACTAAATGGATCGGATGGACAGGCTCGGTGACTTCGTTGATTGCATGTTTGACGGCGTCTATTGTTGCTCACAAGATCACTCATAGGGTTGTCTGGTCCTCACATATAGTTCTATACATATATAGAATGTTGCTGAATGAAAGCGTTGAACAGCAAACAAACATTAGCTGCAAGAGAGACAACCGTGTCTGTCTGTGCTGGTTGTGCTTCAGCATGTTTCCATGTCACGTGCAAGACAAGGTCACAAGTTCGGGGGCGACCGTTTGATATTCCAGGTGGTGAGGGTGGTTTGGAAATTTTACCGAAAAAATAACTTCTTGAAAACCATACTTATGCATAATATTTCTTGAAAATGAAGTAATTGTCTGCGTCATAATCAACCTTGTAATGTGGTTTTTAGAAGAAGAAATTACTAATTTGGCTCATAGTTTTAAGTAAAGAAAATATCTGGCCTTAATACAAAATGCCAAACCTCTTCCTGATTGGAATATTGGCGTGTGATCAATGTCGTAGATATATATGTGAGACGATGACGTGCACAATGGTCGACGTGTGACAAAAGTCGAAGATGTAGATGTAGACGTGTTCATTGACTAACGTATGAAATATCGTAGATGTAGACGTTGACTGATGTGTTATAAATGTCGTAGATGTAGACGTGAGTCGATGACGTGTACGTTGACTGACGTGTTATAAATGTCGTAGATGTACACGTGAGACGATGACGTGTTCATTGACTAACGTAAGAAATATCGTAGATGTAGACGTTGACTGATGTGTTATAAATGTCGTAGATGTAGACGTGAGACGATGACGTGTACGTTTACTGACGTGTTATAAATGTCGTAGATGTACACGTGAGACGATGACGTGTACGTTGACTAACGTATGAAATGTCGTAGATGTAGACGTTGACTGATGTGTTATAAATGTCGTAGATGTAGACGTGAGACGATGACATGTACGTTGACTGGCGTGTTATAAATGTCGTAGATGTAGATGTGAGACGATGTCGTGTACGTTGACAGATGTGTTATAAATGTCGTAGATGTAGATGTGAGACGATGTCGTGTACGTTGACAGATGTGTTATAAATGTCGTAGATGTATACGTGAGACGATGACGTTTACGTTGACTGACGTCTTTTAAGTGTCGTAGATGTAGACGAAAGACGATGACGTGAACGTTGACTGACGTGTTATATATGTCAACAGTATTTCATCAACCTGTCGTAGACCAGGGTGAGAGCAGCTTCCCTTTCTTGAAGGTCAGTTACTTTAGCGGAAGACGGATGGAGGCAAGTAGAAACGATGTGATAGGCAATTGTTGTTTTGCCTATATGTTGTTACGCCACTGTATAAGGAACAGGTTTCAGTTGGAACCATATTGACTGTTGTCACTGTCCGACAGACACGTCACTTACCTTCTGACGTAATATGGGGCACGGATGGCCCAGTCGTCTAAGGCGCCGCGATTCGCTGTGCTGAGTTGCGTCCTTTGTACACGCCAGAAACCTATGATTGTGTGTTCGAATCCCGGTTCGCCTCTATTATATTTCTAGGTTTTTCAGCACCATACCCGTGCTCGTGGGTTTCACCGCAGTGGTAAACGTCTGAGACCTGCATCACTTCGGGCTTTCCTCCCACATTAAGCTGACAGGCCGTGATATAACTGGAATACTGTATAAAGCGGCGTTAAACCCAACTTACTCACTCACTCTGACGTAATATATATTAATGCGCACATTCCAGGAAATCTTGCAATGTGTAGGTAATGTTTGTAAGAGATGGTAAGATATTTTTCGAGCACGGAATGGAAGAATGACATTGGTTGATACAGAAGTTAACACACATGTATGTTTGGGGATGGTTAATATCCCATGGCTCGCTAAATACAATGCTTATTCCAATACTGAATATTTACCATCCCCAAACATACAAGCGTGATAACCTCAACAAGAACATCCGTAACCAATTTTAAATTTCCATGAAGTTCAATTTAAGAGTAATAAACATTATTTTGTGTTCAGTTGTTTTTTTCCATTCAAGTCGTGACGTCTGTTGATACTTGACGCTATAGATGTCAATGTTAGAAAATGTACGTAGATTCAGTCTCGAATAACATAATTGTTTTAATTCACTGACTTTCCGATTGCAATCCATCTATGAAACGTTTGAATTTCAAGAGCTGAGATCGATAACACGTTTTAGTTTAAAGAGTTGAGATCGATAACACGTTTCAGTTTAAAGAGTTGAGATCGATAATGCGTTCCTGTTTAAATAGGTGAGATCGATAACGCGTTCCAGTTTAAATAGGTGAGATCGATAACGCGTTCCAGTTTAAATAGGTGAGATCGATAACACGTTCCAGTTTAAATAGGTGAGATCGATAACGCATTCCAGTTTAAATAGGTGATAACGCGTTCCAGTTTAAATAGGTGAGATCGATAACGCATTCCAGTTTAAATAGGTGAGATCGATAACGCATTCCAGTTTAAATAGGTGAGACGGATCTCGCGACTCTGCAACAGTGTTTGGACTTTAACAAGGAGACCATGTCGGAAACGTTTACGCAGAGTTGCGTCCCTTAACTGAGGAAGGATCTGTTATCGTTTGTTCGAATCCCACATTCACCCTGATTCTGGCTCTTGGTCACTCAGCTCATGGGATTCACAAAACTGGTGTATTTCCCAGGCCCTCGCACGTTTAGAGACATGCCCTGATATAGCTGAAAGAATCGGCGTTAAACCAAGTGACTCACTCACTCACCAGACGTGTTGGTAACGGGATTTCATCTAATGAGGCAGAGAAAACATCAAACATTGTTCTTTGAATAAATAGACTCCATCCCTTTATTCAGATGCCCTGTCCCAGCATCCAGACTCAGAAGAAAATCAGGTCACAGTGCGCTCCAAGGGAGACAACCAAGCTTAATATCAGCAATGCAAACCGGTAATGGTAAATAGGGATGTGTTTGGACTTGGTGAAGAATAGCATGTACATTTACGTAAACTAAAAACAGAACAAAAAACAAATAATTTCTTTTGCTTATAGATGTGTAAAATAATTTTGTTATCAAAGATAATGTGCCAGTATCAGTTCACGCGCAGGCCCGAGATCCGATGACGTGCACATAGTCGTCATTAAATAACCTACAAAATGACATTTTTATGTGAACTCAAAATTTAATTGGCCCCTAAAAAATCATGATAATAGAAAAAGTAGGAACACGTTAGAGATTCATAGAAAATGAACATTTACATCCTCGGTTTCGAGAAATATTCCAGTTTGTAAGTGTCAATAAGAATACCGTCACAGTGCACCACACCCTCCTGTGTTCCCAGTGAGGTTCAGAGTGACCTTGAAACAATATCCAACAATGCAGGGAGGTCCGTTATGGCGCTTCATACAACTGAGGAGAAAGAGGTCAAGAGGTCATCTCCTTGGTAACTGGCTTGCTTGCTTGTGATTGGACGAACATGATTACATCGTTGAGTTTGGGACAAGTGGGGATCTGAAACAGTATTGAAACAAGGTATTAATCATACAATGTGTGCCTGTGATATTCGTACGTGAGAGGTGATGACGTCACGACGCACTCAGCACTACATCCGTCAACATGGGGGAGTCCTGTCATCGACCGTCAACATGGGGGAGTCCTGTGATAGACCGTCAACATCGGGGGTCCTGTGATAGACCGTCAACATGGGGGGGTCCTATGATAGACCGTCAACATGGGGGGTCCTGTGATCGACCGTCAACATGGGGGGTCCTGTGATAGACCGTCAACATGGGGGGTCCTGTGATAGACCGTCAACATGGGAGAGTCCTGTGATAGACCGTCAACATGGGGGGTCCTGTGATAGACCGTCAACATGGGGGAGTCCTGTGATAGACCATCAACATGGGGGGTACTGTGATAGACCGTCAACATGGGGGAGTCCTGTGATAGACCGTCAACATGGGGGAGTCCTGTGATAGACCGTCAACAGGGGGGGTCCTGTGATAGACCGTCAACATGGGAGGTCCTGTGATAGACCGTCAACATGGGGGGTCCTGTGATAGACCGTCAACATGGGAGGTCCTGTGATAGACCGTCAACATGGGAGAGTCCTGTGATAGACCATCAACATGGGGGGTCCTGTGATAGACCGTCAACATGGGGGAGTCCTGTGATAGACCGTCAACATGGGGGGTCCTGTGATAGACCGTCAACATGGGAGGTCCTGTGATAGACCGTCAACATGGGGGGTCCTGTGATAGACCGTCAACATGGGAGGTCCTGTGATAGACCGTCAACATGGGAGAGTCCTGTGATAGACCGTCAACATGGGAGAGTCCTGTGATAGACCGTCAACATGGGGGGTCCTGTGATAGACCGTCAACATGGGAGGTCCTGTGATAGACCGTCAACATGGGGAGTCCTGTGATAGACCGTCAACATGGGGGAGTCCTGTGATAGACCGTCAACATGGGGGGTCCTGTGATAGACCGTCAACATGGGGGTCCTGTGATAGACCGTCAACATGGGGAGTCCTGTGATAGACCGTCAACATGGGGGGTCCTGTGATAGACCGTCAACATGGGGGGTCCTGTGATAGACCGTCAACATGGGGGTCCTGTGATAGACCGTCAACATGGGGAGTCCTGTGATAGACCGTCAACATGGGGAGTCCTGTGATAGACCGTCAACATGGGGGGTCCTGTGATAGACCGTCAACATGGGGGGTCCTGTGATAGACCGTCAACATGGGGGGTCCTGTGATAGACCGTCAACATGGGGGTCCTGTGATCGACCCTCGGGGATATGGTAATGGGGTTTATGTCACAAACAATAATTGCACATGTACTGCGACGTTCACGCGCGCGCGCGCGCGCGTGTGTTTGTGTGTTTGTGTGTGTTTGTGTGTGTGTGTGTGTGTTTGTGTGTGTGTGTGTGTGTGTGTGTGTGTGTGTGTGTGTGTGTGTGTGTGTGTGTGTGTGTGTGTGTGTGTGTGTGTGTGTGTGTGTGTGTGTGTGTGTGTGTGTGTGTGTGTGTGTTACTAGTTTTACAGTGCTAGTCTACTGAGATACCATGCCGCAATTTAACATTGATGTTTTTCTCATATTTGAAATGTCACAGACTTTGTAGGTTTCGGCTTGCACAAGGTCCGTCATTACTTTATGATTTATAACCTCTGGCCTTGTATATTTCTGTACAGTGTTGAGTTCCACATCGACCTGGTCTATACTGTTGGGGTGCTATAGTCTGCGTGAAGCAACGATAAAGATTTAACAACACAGCAAGACATCACTCAACATTACGGCATTTCAAAACTGGCAAAACTGTAGTGTTCACCGCACTGTTCTACGTTTTGTTCTCCGTTATATTTTCTGTATTGTTCTCCGTATTGTTATATCCACTGTTCTCTGTATTGTCCTACGTGTTGTTGTATGCATTGTTCCCTGTATTGTTCTTCGCATTGTTCTCTGTATTGTTCTTCGCATTGTTCTCTGTATTGTTTTTCGCATTGTTCTCTGTATTGTTCTTCGCATTGTTCTCTGTATTGTTCTTCGCATTGTTCTCTGTATTGTTCTTCGCATTGTTCTCTGTATTGTTTTATGTATTGTGATATGCATTGTTCTGTTCATTGTTCTCTGTATTGCTCTGTGCAGTGTTCCTCTCATGGTTCTTCGCATTGTTCTGTATTGCTCTGTGTAATATTCTCAGAATTCTCTGTATTGCTCCCTGTATTGCTATATGAATTGTTCTGTGCATTGTTCTCTGTTCTGCTCTGTGCATTTTTCTTCGCATTGTTCTGTATATTGTTCTCTGTATTACTCTGTGCATTTTTCTTCGCATCGTTCTGTTTTGCTCTGTGTAATGTTCTTAGAATTCTCTGTATTGCTCCGTTTGACATAAAACACAGAATTAAGCATGGCCGGCACAACGTGACCTTGTGTATGGTCTGGATCAGCAACACCACTAAAGAGATGAGTCTGGCTGCTTAATTAAACGATGTCACGAACTTGATTATGTGTAACGAAAGAATCTCTGTGTCTTAAAATGAATGCGTTTAATGTCACGTATCATAAAACTCTTCGCATCCTTGCTGAATTGTTACCTTGTATTCAGAGTGTTCCGTCCGCATGTAGAGCACACACACAACTCCAGGCATGTGACCTCTAAGCGTGAAAACTAACATTTGCTATCAGCAAAAAACATGCAAGTAATTTCACGATTAACAATGAATATTGAACTTGAGGGCTTTTACTATGATTATGCCATTATAAAGGGTAGAGCCTGAACGCCCCCGATGTCAACAATGATTACTCCCCAGATCATCAACGACCGTTAAGCGTACGACTTTCAATCGCGCGTATTGATTGGGTAGATGATGAGCGGCTTGCACGTGCTTTTCATGTTTCCTTCGGTAATCTTCGGGTCAGCCGAAGCACGTTCGGGGATATATTTAGACGTCGGCCTCACCACGGCCATAAGCAGGACTGGTTGATGACTACTCGAGGTACTTCATGTGACTTTGCGAGATCTGACGCTGTCTTACAGAAACAAAAAGTGCTCCCCATCATAACTTGCCCCAGGACTCCCTGACTTGTGCCGCACGTGGCTCTATCTGACCCTTTAACCACACGTGGACGCACATATGTTAGATGGATAATACGTTTCATATTTTTCCAGAGTATCTGATATTAAAGAACGTGTTAGTCAGGTTGATATCCATGCAGTCTAATGATTACCATGCTCTACGGGAGTTTGGAAGTTTGATAGAAATGTGCTTGTACTGGGAAGCTGATGCAGTGATAGAGTTGCTTCCAGGACAGATGTGCGTGCACTGAAGTGATGCAGTGATAGAGTCGCTTCCAGGACAGATGTTCTTGTACTGGGGAGCTGATGCAGTGATAGAGTCGCTTCCAGGACAGATGTGCTTGCACTGGGGAGCTGATGCAGTGATAGAGTCGCTTCCAGGACAGATGTGCTTGCACTTTGGAGCTGATGCAGTGATAGAATTTCTTCCAGAACAGATGTGCTTGCACTGGGGAGCTGATACAGTGATAGAGTCGCTTCCAGGACAGATGTGCTTGCACTGTGGAGCTGATGCAGTGATAGAGTCGCTTCCAGGACAGATGTTCTTGTACTGGGGAGCTGATGCAGTGATAGAGTCGCTTCCAGGACAGATGTGCTTGCACTGGGGAGCTGATGCAGTGATAGAGTCGCTTCCAGGACAGATGTGCTTGCACTTTGGAGCTGATGCAGTGATAGAATTTCTTCCAGAACAGATGTGCTTGCACTGGGGAGCTGATACAGTGATAGAGTCGCTTCCAGGACAGATGTGCTTGCACTGGGGAGCTGATGCAGTGATAGAGTCGCTTCCAGGACAGATGTTCTTGTACTGTGGAGCTGATGCAGTGATTGAGTCGCTTCCAGGACAGATGTGCTTGCACTGGGGAGCTGATGCAGTGATAGAGTCGCTTCCAGGACAGATGTTCTTGTACTGTGGAGCTGATGCAGTGATAGAGTCGCTTCCAGGACAGATGTGCTTGCACTTTGGAGCTGATGCAGTGATAGAATTTCTTCCAGAACAGATGTGCTTGCACTGGGGAGCTGATACAGTGATAGAGTCGCTTCCAGGACAGATGTGCTTGCACTGTGGAGCTGATGCAGTGATAGAGTCGCTTCCAGGACAGATGTTCTTGTACTGTGGAGCTGATGCAGTGATAGAATCTCTTCCAGGACAGATGTGGTTGCACTGTGGAGCTGATGCAGTGATATAGTCTCTTCCAGGACAGATGTGCTTGCACTTTGGAGCTGATGCAGTGATATAGTCTCTTCCAGGACCTCCCAGTGGAACAGGAAATGTGAATCTCACAGATGTAAAGACATCCATTTCTTATCCAATTATGGCTACCCCAGGAGACATCGCTTGGGGGTGACCATTGGGACGACTTTGGTTACCATGGCAACACTACTGGCTCTGCTACTGAAGCTGTTAGCAGTACGTTTTACACTCGGCAAGACTCGGAGTTTTAAAGTTTATCGACTTGTGTTGAAATATTCGATATCGAAAGACAGTTACGTAAGACTCTCAATAAATCACACAGATGTGAAGACGCCCATATATCTCACAGATGTGAATACACCCATATATCTCACTGATGGGAAAACACCCATATATCTCACATATGTAAATACATCTATATATCACACAGATGGAAAAAACACCAATATATCACACAGTTGTGAATACAATACATCCATATATCTCACAGATATATCACAGAGATGTGAATATACCCATATATCACAGAGATGTGAATACATACATGTATCACTAAGATGTAAATATAGCCATATGACACACACATGTGAATACACACATATATCGCACAGATGTGAATACACCCATATATCACAGAGATGTGAATACAGCCATATATCACACAGATGTAAATACATCCATATACTACAAAGATGTGAATACGCCCATGTATCATGGAGATATGAATACACACATA